CAAAACAAGAAAAGCTACTTGACCTATTGTTCATTGGTGTCAATTCAGATAATACAAAAGAAGATGTGTATGGCAACGAAGGCTATAAATTTTGCATTATGTTGATTATTTCAACATTTTAGCAGAAAATGTTTTTTAGCACATAAATGCTGATGCACTGACATAACAAAATTTAATGAAACATTAACATATTCACTTTAAGTCTTTAACTATAAAAATGATATCCAAAACAAAGAATAAAAATATTTCAATTTAGTGCATCATCCATATTAGCTGTAACAAGCTATGTTATTGCTGAAAGAAATGTATAAACTGTTCCAAGATCAAATATTGGTAAATCCTCTTGAACCAAATTGCAAAGCCCTATCCAGTTTAGCTTTCAGTTCATCGAAGTTTTCATAACATGGAAGAACTAACAAATGAAAACAAGTTCTACTTTCTGGCAGCAGAGTACGATCTTTTGTTTTGTCAACTTTGAGATGCAGGATTGCACCATTTGCAGGCAGTAAATCACACCCAGTCCAAAAAGACAACAGATTTTTAAGATTTGCCCCTAGGAATGGACAAGTATTAAAGTATTAATATAACTAGTACCTCAAACAGTCAAGCATTTAAGTTTTTTTTGGAGAAAGCAAAGGTACAATTTAAAAGCAAGAAAATATTACTGACATTGATATTGTTCAAACAGATAAAGTTACTGCTGCTCCAACATATGATATATAATCAGTTGTGGTGCAAATATTAAAAAGCAAACCATATTCACACAAAAGAAATACATGCATAGACTGACTACAGCCAATTACAACCTTCCCTGCATCTTTCTACCAAAACACTTACCACTAGTTGTCCCATCAATTAGATCAATGTATTGTTTCAAAAACAACATCAGTTGATTACAATGAACGCCTTCTTCTTCTTCTTCAATTTCAATAATTCTTTTTAAGTCGTCTTTATTAATAATAGAAGCAGTTGATTGTGGAAAAAGCTGTGGTGGAACAACATCTTTGTGTTTCTTCAGGAAATCAACCAGTCCAAACTCATTCATTCCATGAGCTAGATCTTGCAACATCTTGCAACTCATGAGCAGTCAATGAAGATCTAAGACTTGCTGATCCAGAAGAGTCTGGATTCAGTAAATTTGCTGCTCGGCGAAGCAAAACTGCTGCCTCTCGATTTTTCGCTCCATTATCATCCCCCATACCAAAAAATCGTTTCTTTTTTACAGAATACTAAAGTTGCTTCGAAGGACAAAGATCGTGATAGTTATTGCATAAAATATTGCAACAGTATAATTTATTGATATTAACAATTTTTGGCGGTAAATAATTATAAATAAATTATAATGTGATCGAGTAAAATTTGATGTTCTGCGAGTCACGAATAATGTTACGTCATCATAATGGAATGTTCAATAACAAAATGCGTTTTAACGGAAATTGAACAGGACAAAATCCGATTATGAAATTCCAGAATGCAATATGATCAAGACAAAATGCACATTGCAAAGGACAAAATGCACATTGCAAAGGACAAAATGCGCATTAGCAATTGAAAATATGGCTTTTAATTTTGGCGGAGATCACCCTCCATAGACACACGACGTCATTTCTTGTTTTGATTAAAGCCATGTTCGTGGGCTTGATTGTATTCAAATTCCACCCACAATTTTACAATCAGATAAGGAGCGTAGATAAATGCAGGTTATCTTCAGCAAAAACCATTTAAATTGAAGCTTAATTCTAAGAAGGGTACATGCAGATAAAAACAGCTTTGGCAAAGAAATAGCTAAAAAGTTCTTTCGGGTGTTTTTCTTTTGCTCGCTTTGACTGGCTCTCAGTTTACAATTAAATTAAATTAAAAGCTAATTATATAAGATATTAATATGATGGAAATATACATTTTATTTGTTTTCGTTTGATCTTTTTAATTTCAGCAGCTTGAATTTTTCCAGAAAAAAAACGGTAATTGTCTGACAACTGCAGATTAAGGCAGTTTTTTTTCTAATTTAAATATTTTTTTCATAAAAGCTTTTCGTATAGACAAAACCTGCCTAGAATAAGCTACACCTAAACAATCAATTTGCCGCCTTTTCTAATGTTTTCACCATTTATTCCGTGCTGTGAATATCAAGATGTATGTTTTAGTTGAATAATAGCTCATGTTTTGTCTTTGGTAGAGTGTTTATTTTTGCTCTGTAATATCTGAATACAAAACCGTTTCCATGTTCATGTCAACGGCAGCTTACGTAGGTTATGTTATTCATGTCATAACAAACATATAACACTGCTTAAATATGAAGTTCGTTTTCCAGCGTCCACAACCCATAGTTCATGAAAAATGCATCTGTTGATCTGATATAAGTTGTGTTTTGGGGAGTGATATCCTTGTGGTAGCTATGTCCTTGTGGAGATCATCATAGGTACCTGTAACAGCTGTGCCACAAATTCATGAAACTTTTCTTTTCACATGTCTTCAAAGAAAATTATCTTCATTGTTTATGTTCTGGCAATTGTATAATGTCAAAAAATATTATTTTTAAATTTGATCGCTACCCTTAAAACGGATTTGTTAATGTTCTTCGCCTCAACTACTTGTAGTGTGGCTGAGATAATTTCTAGAGAAGCGAAGAAAACAGTCATACTTAGAAACTACTTTCATCAGATTTTCCTTGCGGTGAACCATGTCAACATTTTGCGAACCATGTAAATATTGTGTGAACCATGTAAATATTGTGTGAACTATGTCAACATTGTGCGAACCATGTCACTGTGTGTATGTTTAACATCTCAGCTCAAACTCGTGACTTGACTGTGACTGCTCCCTAGCTAATTAAGCAAAAACGCGTGGTGCTCTAAATGAATTTAGAACTTCCCTTTAATGAACCAAACGTTAAGGAAACACGACAAAGTGCCTTAACTGTTTTAATCGATTGGTGTATTGAATATAGCTAAAAAATCATAATAAGTTGCCAAACACGTAGCTATTTTCATTTTTGTTAAATTAAATTTTCTATACTTTTGCAAACTCACTTTAAAGCTTTCTTTATTTCTCTTTTTGAAATAGTGATGGTGCTGTTCTTCCTTTCCCTGCAGTTACATCTCATTTGATGTCGTCTTTACAGTTTACAATCCTCTTCCTCTTGTTGCCTTCCTTAACTGAATGGCGCGTATTTGACTATTGCATTACCATTATACTTCCTCGTGACTTAACGCATCTGGCTTATGTTCATTTAATAGAAAATATGAATATGCAATTCAGGTCTGTCTGTCGGTAGTTTTTTATACTTAAATAAATCGTATACGAGAGTACAAATAATTTATTCAAAGCGCATGCGTTTTGGACGGGAGGGCATTAGCCCATCCAAGTTGTCTGACAGATAAGGCCAGTCGGGCAAGTAAGTGGTTGTCATCAGTCATCTAAAGACATTTTTCAATGCCCCCTCCGGGAAATTATAATTCAGCCATGCCATTACTGTCCATTGTACAAAATTTCCCGTACAAATGTGGCTCTGTAGAGGATATTGAAATCACCAATCGATGATCCTCGTTTTGGTAGTTTGGATTACCATTCTTGAGTCCTGTGGTATCTTTTACAATAAGCTGTATGGTTGGTTCTCAATAATCGGTGATAATTAAACGAAAAACACCAAGATCGTTGAATTACAAATTTAGAAAAAAACAGCGAAGCGAGAAAGTTCATTTCAATTGTTTGGGTTGTGACCGAACTGCGTTGTAAGGAAACATCTTATTACATGTTTGTAAATGTAGATCGTCCAGGTTGGTATAGTCCTGAGAAGGACTGTTTTTGTTGTTGTTGACTGACGTTTCGACAACCTTAGCGGTAGTCATCTTCGGAGTCAAAAAATGTCATTTTCTGACTCATTTTTTGACTCTGTCATTTTTTGACTCAGAGTCGTTTTTCGACTCCGAAGATGACTACCGCTAAGGTTGTCGAAACGTCAGTTAACAACAACAAAAACAGTCCTTCTCAGGACTATACCAACCTGGACGATCTACATTTACAAACATGTAACGATACTCCCGGGTTCAAACCATTTACTGAAACATCTTGTATTGGTAAACAAGACTTGAGTTGTTAAAAAACTTGAAGAAAAAAATTTCAGTATAAGTTGGAAAAGCATTGGACTTATGGATCCCAAAGGTTCTCTAAGATTTGTTTTGGATCGAGGAGTCGTTAGCATAGCAACTATTTAACACAGAATGAACACATCAGAGATCAATTGATGAAGATCTTTTTTACAAAATTACTAAGAGCGCACTGCAGCTAACAAACAAAAACATCATTTAAGAAAGAAAGATGTTTACTGTGTTTGCACAGGCTTATGCAAACCGAGGAGACCTTTGGGAGAACTCGAGAGCAGATCAGTGCAAGCCCGAGACCGAAGGTTGAGGGTTGCACATGCTCGAGAGTTTTCACAAACGTCTCCGAGGTTTGCATAAGCCAGTGCAAACACGAAAAACATCTTTTATTTCTTTTATAGAATAACAATAATGCGAAAAAGACAAGCATTTTAATTCTTCCTCTAAAATGTATTCATGATTGATTTGCAAATTCTCTATGATTGGTTGATTGTTTTGATAGACTTGATTGGTTGAGCTCAGATGTGTTTTGCACAGGCTAATGCAAACACGGCTCTAGACCAATCAGCGCACGCGTTTCATTGTTTTTATTTTTTAATTTGCCATCTCATAGGTCCGCAATATGTGCAAAGAAGAACATAAGTCCACTGAATAATGTATAATGACAAATCAAGTAGTTGTATGTCACCATTTTTAGTTTAAGACTTTTTACTTTAATAATTTTGATATTTCAACCAATTCAGTAAATAAACCAACGACAGAACAAGATAAATTATTAGCTAAATGTCGTATTGTGTCAAATATTTGTAGAACTTGAGAATGATGATGACGACCGATAGTCGAATATATGTAAACTTATTAATAAAATATTTGAAGAAACAGAATAAATAAAACACCACAATGAGTAATCTACCAGTTAGTTCACGTCTTAAGGCACCTGCTAGTAGAATTTCTAAAGCACCAGCGCCAAAATCTGACAGCATTGTTGCCCCAAGATCAAGCGGTTTAAAGCCTCCTTCGTCGACAGATATTTCATCGAAAAGTGGTTTAAAATAGCCTGTTTTGAAACGTTCGAATGGCCCACAGGAAACTCCTAAAACCGAAAAAAGAAGTGCGTTGCCTTCTAGTACAAATGCAATTTTAACTCCACGAACTTTTAAGCAAAACGGATCACTTGGTAAATCGAAGTTAGGTCTTGTTGCCGCTAAATCTAATTTCGGTGACGGTGCTGCACTGAGGCGAGATTCGTCCAAAGAAGTCCATTCTACAAGTCTAAGACGTGAATTATCTAGTTCTCAAAGCTCTCTTGTTAAAGAACAAATACCTCCCGTCTTAACTCGGGAGAAAACTCAAGAATCTCTAAAAGATAAGGCGACAGGGATTCTGTTTAAAGTTGGCGATCGTGTTCTTGTAGCAGGCACCAAATCTGGAGTGATTGAGTATTTAGGCGGAACAAAATTTGCCAAAGGTCTTTGGGCTGGCGTGAAATTAGATGAAGCTGAAGGGAAAAATGATGGCTCTGTTGCTGGTGTTAGATATTTTGACTGCCAGCCATTGCATGGTGTATTCTCTAAACCAAACAGACTTCATAAAATAAACATTGTTTCTAAAAATTACACGTCCGATGTCAGTACAATTTTAAGCGAGTCTTTGAAAATTGGAGACGAAGTTTTAGTAGGCGGTAGTAAATTGGGGATTTTAAGATATCTTGGACCTACTGAGTTTGCTAAAGGTGAATGGGCAGGTGTTGAATTGAAAGAACCATTAGGAAAGAATGACGGGGCTGTAGCTGGAACAAGGTGGTGTTTTGAAGGCCTACGTTTTTGATAGTCTATTGTTTTTGTAACCATGTACATGTATGTATTATATGACATGGCTTGAAGTCTGAAGAAGTTAATTGAAGCATGAATTATTTACTGTAGAAATATTAAACCACTTGCATTGACATTATATATGGATAGGTTGTATAGAAAATAACATGGTAAGGTAATGAAAAATGAAGAATCAGCATTGAGAACAGACTTGGCATTTCTTAGAGCATTAACAAGAAGTGTTTTAACCTAATGACCCTTGATTTCATTTAGGTATTTCACTTGTGAGATGTTGTATGGTCTGTTTGCACCATCTTCTAAAGTTACGAAGTCTAAGAAGAAAGTGTTTAATGCAAAACTGTCAAATTCACCCATACCATCACTGGATGTTGCTGCAAAGATGGTCTTCAGTAAAACATCTTCAATAGACTCTGATGTTGCATCTGAGACACTGCCTCATCTTCCATCTCCTGGTGAAAAACATATTGCTGAGGATGATGTAAGTCAATACTAGTAGAAAATGATTCAACTAGATTTTCTGAAATAATATCTGTGCTTTTAAGGACCTTTCAAAATCCAATGAATCACATCATATTGGCCTAAAGAAGACAACATCAAACACTCAACAAGTTGTTGCACTGCAGGTAAAGTTCAGTTTTATGTTGGATAGAGTCACGGCAGCATATTTTAATTTGAATATTTACAAAATCTAAAGCTGCCTTCCTCTGTGTTTTTTTGTTTGCATCTCAGAGTGCCCTTGAAGAGCGAGAACGGGAAATCCATAAAATGTTAGTGGAGCCAGAAAATGGGAAGGTTAACGATGTCACATTGAATGGAAAGGTAAATTGAAAAGATAGGGTCTATTAATTTGAAGAAAACCTTAAATCAACTTTCGGTGTTTTTTAGAACAGCAAAAACTCCTTCAATGAGCAGGTATGATCAGATCTGACTGTTAGAATAACTATTGATCTGAATATCTTGTTTTTTTAATGAAAAGAGCTACATGCCTTTTGTGGAAATCAACTTTAGTAAATTAGGCTAGATTGTTAAAATACCTAAAAGATATTCATTTGTTTGTTCATTCATTCATTTATTCATTCATTCATTCATTCATTCATTCATTCATTCATTCATTCATTCATTCATTCATTCATTCATTCATTCATTCATTCATTCATTCATTCATTCATTCATTCATTTGTTCATTCATTCATTCATTCATTCATTCATTCATTTATTAATCATTCTTTCTTTAATCATTCTTTCATTTGTTCAAGGAGGTGATTCTGGTTTGTAAATGTTAAATTATCTCTCCTCTTATCAAGCTTTTGAAAGATAAAGATGACATTATTAATGCCCTGAAACCAAATCTCCAAACAGCAAAATCTGAAAACTCTATAATTCAAGCAAAACTTGATGAAGAAAAGAAGTAATTTTATCTCATATAATATACATTCATGACTGCTAATTTCTCTATGTATTTTCTTGCTAGATTGTAAATCTTACTGTGCAGAAACATGTTATGTTCTACTGATGGTTTTATTTTAGGAAATATGAAGAATTGCAATTTATGCTGGAAGAAGAAAAAATCACGGATGATGAACTTAAGGTGACTAAATGACGTGGTTTTTCTGTTTATATTACCCATTCACAACCATCCCTTTTTTTAAACATCTTTAAATCTTTATGGATCAAGTTGCACATGAAGTAGATAGAGTTATGAACTCAGTTTTTAATGGTGAAAAGCTTTGCTAACAAACAAATTTGTTTGCATTTATTAAATCATTTCATTCAATTGTTGTGCTCTTTTTTGTATCTCATACTCTTGGCTTGAACATGCTCATATGAAACAGGATCATGTGAAACAGGACGAAACCACCATCAAAGAACTATCATCACAATATGAAGAAAAGAATCTGAAAATCACAAAATTACAAAATGAACTGCGCGAAGCTCGTTTGGATAAGCAGGCCAACGAAGCGAAGTTGAAGGAACTTAGAGTAGAGCTGGATGAATCACGGAATGATTTTGAAAGTTTAAAACGGAGTGTTGACACAACAAATAAAGGTTAGCAAGTTTTTGATGAACTAAAAGATGATCAGGCCGTCGCTACAATGTTAAATGGTGTCTTTGTGTGTTTGTGTGTGTGTTGGGGTGGTGGGTGGTAAATGCATCAATAAAAAATCTGTCATGACAGTTGTAGCAAAAAAGTGTAAATTCAAATTATTTAAAATTTTATTAATTTCATTCTGAATTTCTGCAGATAGTGACCATAAACTGGAGATCTCATTGGAAAATATGAAAAAGGAATTACATGAAAGTAAGCAGTTATTGATCAAGAAAGATCACGAATCATCGGAACTACAGAAAATGTTGAATGATCAACGAGAATACATGGAGAAGGAGAGAGTGAATTTGAACGATAGGTTATCAACCGTCGAGGTAAGACGCACTTATTTTAAGGTGATGGCGATTTTCTGGTTTAATATAACTTCAGTTGTATCGATGATGGTGGAAAAACTGTCATGGAAAATTGACCACGTAATATTGATAACTTATGTTAGTGCTTTGTTTGGCAGAATGAAAAGACAGCAGCTAAAGGAGACGTTTTGAGGATGAAGCAAGGGAGCGAATCGTTGAATGAAGAACTAAGACAATATAAACATACGAACATAGAAATAGAAACCAACCTTAAGATAAGAGAGGAGAAATTGCAAACTTTAGAAAGAAAATATAATGAACTATCTAAAGAAAATCTTGCTGCCATGAGCGAGAAAGATGAAAATAGCAAGGTATGTTAGCTTGATCTCTTCTTGTTCGACATATCATTACAGCGAGAGTGTTGTGAAACTTTTAGATCACATTGATGAATTTAAACGCGAGAATTACTGAACTGGAGGGAGAATTGATTGAGGCTAAGGCTAATGTGTCTCAACTGGAGAACAATATGGCTTTAGAGAGAGATATAGCAAAACAGAAGGAGAAGCAATTGGATGATCACCTCGTGAACGCCAAAAAACAACTCGAGGAGAGTATTGAAGATTCCAAAATTAAACAACAAGTTGCGAATGATATAGAAAATAAACTAAACATTCAATTAAATCGAGAAAAAGAAATCATAAAAGAAAAGGAGGAATTGGTGGGTTTATTTTCTTTTTAATAATAACAGAATTCAAAGTAGGGTATTTCATAAATTATTAGTGGTAATTATCTCTCAGGATCAGGCGTTCTGCCTTGAGAAAGAAGTTCTTCAGAGCGAAATAAACTCTCTCACATTAACGATCTTCGAGAAAAACAAAATATCTTAGCTGAAAATCATTGAATAGAAATTTCATCGCAGATCAGTAAAGCTGCATCGAAAGAGGTTAGTTTTTTGCATTATGTATTTATTTTTGTTTGACAACAGTTTGTTTTTAGCTGCCTGTGTATGGATCGTATTGCATTACGCGAATAGATTATGCAAGAACTATTTTTTGCGATGTAGAAAGAGCTTCAAGTATTGATCAAAGAATGCGAACGTTTGAAAGATGAAACGGTTTCAGCAAAGGAAAACTTACAGTTGCAATACAAAAATTTGGATACAAAATGTCGCGAATTGTCTCAAAAAAATGTAGAATTGGTCGCTGAAAGAAATGATGTTATCAAGGTTGATAAGGATTTTAATATTGCTGATTAATTACGGAGATAAGTTTACTTATGATGAACGTTATTGATCTTTTTTCTTCATTAAAGTTGTGTGATGAACAGGATAAACAGCTTGATGCTTTGAAAACTGAGGAAGGTAAACTGACTTTAGAACGAGATTCGTTGCTTTAAGAAAAAGACGAACTATCAATTGAAGTTGCTTCCTTAGAATCCCAGGTAATTGGAACTTTTACTTTCATATGATCATCAGTTGTGTCAGTAACTTATACTCAAGGCATACATCGACAGTTTTTTCATGCCAAACAACATTTTCGTTTAATATGATATTGAAATTAATTTTTATTTTCACATGTCATATAGATAAAAACAATAAATTCTGAATCCGGTCGACAAAAAAATGAACAGCAAGAAGCTATGGAATCGCGATTATCTTCGTTGAAATCACAGTTGTAAGGACGTTTTTTTCAACGAGATTTTGCCAAGATTGAGAGAACATTAATTTTTTCATTGTGTTATAGGGAGATTGCGAAGAAAGAAAATGTCGGGAATACTGATTTGATTAATAATTTGCAAAAAGAAAAAAAGACTTTAGAACATGTCATTGCTACCAAGACTAATGAAATTAATAAATTAAAAAACGAACAAATTCAGGTAAGTGAGGCAGTCAGTAGGACGAGAAAGCTATGATGATGTTAACAGTATCGAAGCTAGACTGCAAGTTTTGGTCCTGCTGTGTGAATTTCACAACATAATCATCATCATTTCTTTAGAAATTTATTGTTTTTCCACTTAAATATTTGCATAGCAGGACCAAATTCGCAGGATGGCGGTATGATGAAGACAGCAAATAAAAGTTCTTCTTTCATAGTAGGTAGCTATTAATTGAAGACTTTGTATGACTTTATAACGATCTTCAATTCAGCTTCAAGAAAAATCTGAAGAGCTAGAGAGTCAAGTCAGCAATCTTTCAAAAAAAATGAGCGACGCTGCTGTGAAGTAAGTTGACTTTTCTATTTGAAAGATGCAGTTGAAACTTGTTCCTAAACCTACGCCTTTCGTATTTGACTTTTCTGGTCTTCACATCTCTACCGCTCCTTTTCATAGAACATATTCACTTTTAACCCACAACACCTGCCTACTTCTTGTTACTGAGCTTTCTTTTTCATTAATATTTGGATAGTGCATCCCTAAAGACAAAAGACTTGAACAGTGAAGTTTTGATACTTAAAGAGGATTTTGAAGAAGCGAAAAATGCATTGAAAGAGAAGGAATATGAGATAAGAATTTATCAAGAACAAATCGAGAAGATGGGAAACGATGATTTTCCTAAATCACCCATGGATGGCGATATTCTTGGTGAAGTTTTCCCCTAAGTCTATTATGACATGCACTTCCTAATTTTTCTTCCCACACAAGTTAGAGTTACCTAAACTCTAACTTTGTTTTCACTACCGCAAACATTATCGGAAAGTGTGTTTTGGATTTTAAATTTTGTGCAGCAAAGATCTATTAGAAGGATTTATGAAGGGCATTAGCGTTGCTATTTTCAGTCATGTTCTTGTAGAGAATGCATCCGCTTTGATGTTGCGTTTACACGAAGCTGAATCTAAACTTGCTGTTGTTCAATCTGAGAAAGAGTCTGCAGAGGAACAGGTATAAATTATTTGAAATCCATTCCATTTTTGATCGTATCATGTTAGATCATATACAAAAATATATATAGATATCCACTTTTTCCCTCATTATCCTGTCAATATACACTCGAACACGATGCATTCCATTCTTCATTGTATCATGTTGAATCATATACACACATATACATAGATATCCACTTTTCTCCTCATTATCCTGTCAATATACACTCGAACACGGTCCATTCCATTCTTCATTGTGTCGTGTTGAATCTGTACGAAAATCAAAATATCCATCAAATTTTTGTTTGTTTAGGTTGAATTTTTAAATTCCATCATTGTGGATCTTAAGGTTTGTTTGAGATTTTTTCCTCGGATTACTTTGACATGTCCTCCTTATTGTGTTTTAGACATACGAAGGCTTTGCGTTTGATTGTAATGGGAGAAGGAGGGAAATTTTACTTACTTTGCGTTATGACTGATTTACCACGACAAGCATTAAACATCTGTTTATTGTTTTAGAATAAAAACCAGAAAGCCGAACAAACTATTGCATTATTGGAGGCTAGTGACGAACCAATTTTACTGCAAGGTCTGGAGTCTGATAGGTAATACAGAAACTGATTGGATTGTGATTTGCGATTGGCTGCTGTAAAGTGTGATCATTGAGTTATCAGTTAGTAGAAGTGTTGTCAATTGAGATGTTGCCAATGGAGATGTTGTCAATAGAGGCGTTGCCAATGGAGATGTTGTCAATGGAGATGTTGCCAATAGAGATGTTGTCAATGGAGATGTTGTCTATAGAGATGTTGTCTAGAGAGATGTTGTCAATAGAGATGTTGTCAATGGAGATGTTGTCTATATAGATGTTGTCAATAGAGATGTTGTCAATGGAGATGTTGTCAATGGAGATGTTGTCAAAAGAGATGTTGTCAATGGAGATGTTGTCAATAGAGATGTCGTCAATGGAGATGTTGTCAATGGAGATGTTGTCAATAGAGATGTCGTTAATAGAGATTTTATTAATAAAGATGTTGTCAATAGAGATGTTGTCAATGGAGATGTTGTCAATGGAGTTGTTGTCAATAGAGATATTTTCAATAGAGATGTTGTCAATGGAGATGTTGTCAATGGAGATGTTGTCAATGGAGTAGTTGTCAATAGAGATGTTGTCAATAGGCAACATGGAATTATCTGTTAATATAGGTGTTCTCAACAGAGATATTTTTAGTGGAGATGAATGTATTAAGATTTCAGCATCTTTATAAATCATCATTTCTTTTTTCAGCGACGACGACGATGACCACATTGGAAAACCCAAATACAGTTTGCGAAAGTTTTGCGATATTTGTGATGTGTTTGATCAACACGAAACAGATGAATGTCCTCTACAGGAGAGCGGTGAAGGTAACGAAGGATCAAAACATCATGGAGATAGGAATACAGAGAGACCTTATTGTGGGATATGTGAGGGTAACTGTAATTCTCTCGTGGTTCTATTCGAAAAACATTAAATGTTTGAAAGATAGTTTTTTAAGTTGACGAATAGCTTTGCTATATAGAACTGAAATTGTTTGTTGTTTGTTTTTTGTATTTAGTAGACCTTTTATGTACGACTTAACGACGGACTCTCATCATTTTATGTAGAATTAGAATGCAAACGTCACACACTAGTGGTTTATTATGTAGCGTTATTGTGACATCACATACATTATTGTAACGAAATTTTTTGAAATGAATTTTTTTTTTTAGTTTTTGATCATTGGACCGAGGACTGTAATGATGAACAGGTAAGGAACTCTTTTATTCGTTTTGTTCTTTTCACCTTTCGCACACCTTTAGCATCGTTTGCTAAAGCTTGTCGTAAATCTTCTCGTTATGTTGTATTATTTTCTAGACATTTTAAATCAATGACTAATTGAAGAACGCATAAGAATTGTGGGCGAAATTTTTTGTTGAAATTTTATTTTTATAAACAGTGCACAATGATAGGATGTACATAATTTACGAGAAACTTTGTTATGTTTAGTAAATGTAGCATATGAACCAAGCGTTACTATCGCGCATATAATTATAATGAAAATTTGCTACCTTACTATATATGATCACGCTCAAGGCTGTAAACTTACGATCTATTATACTAGAGGAAGCTAGTCTTGTACTTTATTCGTATTTATAGAGCAAGTCATTGATATTTTCTCTTGATTACATTCACATAAATAACAAAAGTAAGCAGATTTAATACAAAATGTGTTTGGTCTAATCTGTGCATTGTGCAAGAAACGTTGTATTCTAATTAATTTTTACTTTGCGTTAATGGACGTAAAAGCAGTAAATGTGATAGTTGAAATAAAATTTTTTGTTTTATTTCGTAATTTTTCATCTTTATGATGTAGCGCATTCAAGTAAAAATTTGTCAGAGCTTTTGTTTTACGAGAAATAATAAGACGTCTTTTTGTAAACTTTCCGTTGCTTGAATGTATTTTTTTTTTGATTTTGTACAAGCTTGCCACCATGCTGTCTTGGCGGCTCTAAAATATGTGTTAATGTTGCAGAAAAGATTCATTAAAACTTCAACTTTGGTCAAGCTCATGGTCGTAACCAAAACTGGTCAAAACCAGTAATTAATGGTAAAAACAATGGTCAAAACAAAGAGAATCGGTCCCAGTCTCTTGTTATGTTGTTTGACTGAACTAAATTCATTGAGCTCTAAAAGACCTGGAGGGGCAAAGGGGCCTGGACCCCGTGGTCAAAAACATGGCGGTAATGGCGGATTTTGGTTGTCAAAACTTCCACTTTAAGAAAAATTTTTAACATTCGCTCCCTCCCGAATCCTAATCTCTATTCCTGCTTATATTATGACAACCAGCAAAAACAACCACGATACCGTAATCATAAAATATTGAAAACCACGCTTCAGATTTTTGTGAAATAGACACACACATTTAAATGAGGTAAATCTACTGTAAAATAACGTATATTTTTTCAAGTAATGCTTTAGCTATATTAGAAATAAATATCAAACGGCAATCTTTACACTGTCAATGTGTCGTTAAGCTTTAATGCATAATCCCATGCGCATTGCTTGTGTTTTTGACTGTTTGTGAACAGCTTGGTGCAACTGTCTTTCTTGAATAGATGGGTAAATCTTAGTTAAAATGTCCAAAAAGGAGTTAGAAAAAGTTAGCTTACCCCTACGACTTAAGTCGACTGGAAATATATTATTAGTGGGTATGTAATTTTTTGAGTTTTTTTTGGTAGGATTGATTCTGGATGTCTGTATTATGATATTCTGATAAATCTACTGAGAACTTATGAGGAAAATATCTTGAACTAGGATAGCAAAAGAACGAAATTCAAAAATTCTATAATCATGTTGCTGGTTCTGTTTTGAGCCAAGATATTAGAAACTGGATTGTTATTGACAACCATGGATCTAGTAATGAACAGAACTACATTAATTTCCCATTGAAAATACTATTTCTTAAATCAAAGTGCATTGGTTTCTCTGAAATAACAATTTTCTTATTGCTGCATGAAGGCAAACCTGTTTAAATAATTATAATGTAGCTGAAGATATTTAGCATAATAACAATTATACAGACATTATTTATAATATTATGGCCTTGTGTAATGTATGTCAAGAACTTATTAATTCTCAAAAATGCTAACCTTCTTGCACTACTTTTCTTTTGTGTCCTTACAAATTACAGTTACCTATACTATTTTTTTCTAGGTTCAAACAACTTGACAAATTTTTGAATTTTACACTATGCCTTTGAATTTTTCTTTTCGTCTTTTGGTAAAAATATCAGTGAATGACTTAAAAATCAAGTTTATCTAAAATAGTATTTTGTACAAAGTAACTATACATAATTGGAAAAGTCTCCTGTTGAAGGCGGATGTGGCTTCTTTTACTACATTGCTACTCTTATTCTTTCAAATGATATCGTAATTCTTCATAAGACATAAAAAGTTCTTTGCCATCAATTTTTGCTTCTTCCACATTCAACTTCATTGCAACCAATGCATCTTATGTGAATTTTTAATCACCTGGAATTGAAAAACGTATGGATTTTGTCTGATGATGCAATACTATATTTAATGTTTCATGCATGTCATGATAAGCTTTTCTTGAGCAAATATTTCAAGGTAGGAGCAAAATTTGGCACATTGAACAAAGTAGTTTTTATCTTGATTTTGATGTACTAACCTGTTTACTACACTGTGTAACAAACAATTCATTTACCGAAACACCAGATGGCATTTATAAAACTTTAAGCATAAAGCAAACCTTTACACACCATCATCATGCTTGTCCAAATCTGTCAAATTGTCTAGGCTAGCTGTTTAATACTGGTAATTTTTATTGTACGACATGGAACAAAGAGCTCCTTAATTAATCCTGCACTGCATTTGATTTCAATACAGCTCTGTCCTTAATATTTGCTTCATATTTTCAGAAAAACATCATGAAAAAATCCTCCATTTCAACTCAGTTGAAACAAGGAGTTTTAAGATATGCATATTTCGATAAGAACTGGTTGCTTTGCCTCGTCTAGCAATCGATTAAGTAAAGAACAAATAAGACTGGATAAACATAACTTAAATTATAACTTAGGACTAAAAACATTCACAAAATATATGCCATCACACTTCAAGTTAAAACAAAACACTGAACACTTTAAAAAGTAAACAATCTTACGTTGCTTACCGGTGTCATGAAATGTTTCCTTTTCTGGCATTAATTCAGCATCCGTATACAAAACAAGTTTGCAGCATGTTTTAAAGATAAAATTTCTAAAGTTTTTGTGCTTGGCATTGATATTTTATATAATCGCAATTGTGGTTGTCAAATCCGGGTGGGCGAAAAAAATTTCATCTTACGAGCCCGCGTCTTTCCGCTGACTTTGACAACAAAAATCCGCCATGTTTTTGACCACGCGGCCGCGCGCTGATAATTTATAGTATAGTAATTTATAGTAATTTGGTTGACGTTTCCCCTCCAGGTCTTATAGAACTCAATAACTAAATTTCCCTGCCATTTTTTTTATTTTCGAATTTTAACTCACGTTTCTTGGAAATATACCTCGAAATCCACAAGAACAAAATGTCAGACTTTTTTGATAGTGAAGAAGAAGAGTCTGGAGAAGAAATTGGAAGCGGTAGTGAAGAGGATGTCGCTGAAGACGAAGAAATTGCTCAGCAAGAAGAAACGACCGCCATTGATGATGCCAACGATATTATAAATGACGATGACAGTGACGGTGATGAAGAGGATGAAGGGGAAGACAACATACGAACCCGCAAGAGAAAAGGCAAGTCTTTCATATGAGAGAACTCTCTTGATTTTTTGAATTTTTTTTAATAAAGTATTTCTTTAATAAAGTATTTTTTAATTAACATCGACATTAACCATTCTGAAGTCTGAACATTTGTATTGACTTCACCATCCTACTTTGAAATCTGAAGACAGGTTAGATAGGTGCTTTTTGTTGTTAAATTTTTTTGAAATGAGTGTTTTTCCTTTCAGATTTTCACGATGCAGTGGATGAGGAGGATCTTGATTTAATCGAAGAGAATCTTGGAATTAATTTGGATCGAGTAAGTTTTGTGAAAATCTCCTCACCTTATTGTTGATATGTAATATGATTTAATCACTGTTTGAATCAACCTAAAGAGAAAATATAAGCGTTTGAAAAAACTCAAACCAATTGACTCTGATGAGGAAGAAGATGACAGAGGATCAGTTGGTGGACACAGTGCTGATGAACGTGAAGCACTAGCTCATGAACTCTTTGAAGATGATGAAATTGAGCAACTGTCGGTATAGTTTTGATATCACATTATTTATTCATCATTGTCATTTTAAACTTGTTTTATTTTGCTAAATATTTAGCCTTTTACAACAACATATGAACACAAAATCAGATCTTGCTAATTTTCATGCTGTGTGTATGGCAAGATGGTGGTTTATGTTCCTAAAGATTTATGCATTATTTTCCAGAGAGCAATATCTACCACACCAGTGGAGCCAACTAATGATCAGTATGCAGTTCTTGATGACTCAGAATCTGATGGTATGTTAATATGTATTTCTCTATTCAGTGTGTTTGTGAACAATATACTGAATCAAAAATTTTTTTTACAATACCAGTTGAAGATGATTTTATTGTGGATGATGATAACCAACCTGTCCATGAAAGGTCTCGTAAAAAAGGAGGAAGCCGTACTCAAAATAGGTATTTTATAAAAACATATCAACTCATTCAACTATTGCTTTTTGTATGTGCTCACTGTTTGTGTTTTGAGCTGTTCAAGATTAATAAATTTAAGATGACCAGGGGCCGGTTGCACAAAGCTTGTATAGTGTTATACATTGGATAGCAAAAATTTTCAGACTTGTAAAAAATGGTGTTTTTATTTTTCTTACAACAAAGAAATTTTGTAGTCTTCAAAACAATATTATATTTCAGTGATTGCACAGTTCAAATCGTATATTTTTCTCTTTCAAGAGATTTTTTAAGCATTAAGAAAAAATTGCTATTTCAGTTAAAGCACTATTTGGCCTTCGGGCAACTGGCCCTAGAGCATTAAATAGCAGCAAAAATATGTTTTGCATTCAGGGCATTGCAAGAAGCGCAAGATATATTTGGTTTGGATTTTGATTTTGGTGATTTTGAGAAATTTGGTCAAGAAGAATATTCAGATGAGGATCGTGATGAGTACGAAGAGGAATATAGTGATGAGGAGGGACAACAGAGGAGACGAGGGAAGAAAAAAACACAAAAGAAAACAATCTTTGATGTAAGATGAGGATAACATGAGGAATTTTAAAAATGCAAGAGAGTAATGCATGAAGTTTTTTTTTATTTTAGGTATATGAACCAAGTGAACTTAAAAAGATTCATCTCACTGATCGAGACAATGAAATACGTATTAACGACATTCCAGAACGTCATCAGGTAACATGAAGTATTAACATTGCATTGTTGTTATGTACAGTTACTCTGCTATATGTTTGTTGTAAATATGTATTTCTTTAAGCGCACAATTGTGTCCATTTGTTCATAGTTACGTGAAGTACCAATGAAAGCAGCAGAAGATAAGGAACTGACCGATGAAGCAGAGTGGATATACCGTCATGCATTTATGACAATGCCAATCACGAATCAAGTAATCCTGTCATCAAATACTTTCATGAAATGGCTTTTGGTGGTTTTCATTGCATTTTGTCAACATTATTTATCTTGCAGGAAATCCAAGAAGGAGAGAAATTTATCCAGACAACACTAACTAAGCCTCCATCAGCTATTCCTAAAATACGTGAAGCTCTTAATCTCATGAGAAATAAGTACTTTGAGGTAACGTCATGTCTTTTGTTTTGATTATGTTATGCTTGCAAAAGTTTTCAGCAAACAATACGAATATTTTACTGTTTTTACTACAACAAACATGTGTTTGTTATTTAAATGCTGCTATTAATGGCAATTTAATATGAAAAAGTGCAAGAACAATCAAGCTAAAGATTCACATGTTGCAATTAAATAAACATTGTATGAAATTTTCAAAATAGGTTGGCAAACTTTGCAAATATTGTTTTTGTAGGTCGAGATTTAGTCTTTAGGTCACATTGCTAATATCAGTATCAAGGACTAGATTACATATCTACATACTGCAATCTCATTACTGCTTTCAATAGTTTTGAAAAAATAGTTTTATCCTACAAAGGTCATATTTATCCCATGTAGGTCCCATTTATTGCTGCTTATCGTAAAGAATATGTTGAACCAGAACTGAATATTGAAGATTTATGGCGTATTTGGTTATTTGATGAAAAGGTTTACTTCATTGTAATTACATGAAGTTTAATGCACAAGATAGAGTATTGAGGTTGTGTAATGTGTATTTTCAGTGGTGTCAATTGAGTGCCAGAAAAAATAATTTGAAGCGACTGTTCGAGCAAATGCAAACATATCAATACAATAAATTACGTGAAAATCCTGATAAACCATTGGATGAAGATGAGAGGATTCTGGAACAAGATGATGTTGAAAGGTCAGAGAACTCGATTTCACCCAAATCATTTGTATAATTGAAAATATATATGTATTATAACTTGTACTGTTTGAGGTCTGGGAACATTTTAAGAAAATCGCGTTTAAATCTTCTCTTACTATTCTGAAACCTCGGTATTCTGAGACCTTGGTCATGCCCCATATTTACGTATGGATGGCGGGTTTTTTTTTGCGTCAACAAGTTTTCTGATTATACAGTTGCTATTCATCACGATCTAGACTTGACGCCGTGCAAACAATGGAGGAATTACGAGATATATACTCACATTTCGTCTTACACTATGGTCATGAGATTCCAGTCATGAGATTATCAAGAAAAAAGAAATCAGTGAATGACGCCGATGAAACTGTTGAAGAAGTGGAAATGAATGATAGATTGAAAATCCCAAAACGACGTGATTTCTACACGATCTGTCGGGAGGCTGGTGAGAAAATTATTATAGTCGGGTTTTCATTTGAAACTTTGGTAAATTAGCCCCTTCATTCATTCCCCTCTCTTGATAGCAGTCCTAGTTTTACAGCCCTCTCTATTGTGTGCCAGGTCTTAGTTTGTTCGCTAATGTTACAGCCCTCTCTATTGTGTGCCAGGTCTTGGTTTGTTCGCCAAGAAGTTTGGTTTGTCACCCGAGCAGTTTGGTGAAAATCTTCGGGATAATTATCAACGTTATGAGACCGAGCAATATCCTATGGAGCCCAGGGAGGCTGCTGAAGAACATCTCTCCAATATGTTCTTAACAACCGATGCCGTACTTGAAGGTACACGTCACATGGTTGCCATGCAAATTGCACGTGATCCCCTTGTCAGACAATGCGTTCGACAAGTCTTCTACGAGCGTGCTAAAATCAACATTTCGCCCACAGAGAGAGGGAAAAAGGTATCATTTCGTGTTTTGTTTTCTGAGAGTGTTTAGTACAAGCAGATAATGATGGTAGATGAGGATAACTTGTGCTAGATGAGGATAATTTGTGGTAGATGAGGATAACTTATGCTAGATGAGGATAATTTGTGGTAGATGAGGATAACTTGTGCTAGATGAGGATAATTTGTGGTAGATGAGGATAACTTGTGCTAGATGAGGATAATTTATGCTAGATGACGATAACTTGTGCTAGATGAGGATAACTTGTTAATTTTATTTTCATATCGTTTGTTTAGGAGATTGACCGTGATCATGAATGTTATTCATTCAAATACATCAAAAATAAACCTGTTTCTGATTTACGAGGAGATATTTTTCTTCAAATGCACAAGGCAAAGGAGGAAGGCCTTATTCAACTTGATATTGGCATTGATTTAGATCGTGGGTAAATAGAAAGAAATCTTTGTATCATCATGTGTAAACATCTCTGGATCACCATGTTTAAACATCTCTGTATCACCATGTTTAAACATCTTTATATCACCATGTTTAAACATCTCTGTATCACCATGTTTAAACATCTCTGTATCACCATGTTTAAACATCTCTGTATCACCATGTTTAAACATCTCTGTATCACCATGTTTAAACATCTTTATATCACCATGTTTAAACATCTCTGTATCACCATGTTTAAACATCTTTATATCACCATGTTTAAACATCTCTGTATCACCATGTTTAAACATCTTTATATCACCATGTTTAAACATCTCTGTATCACCATATTTAAACATCTTTATATCACCATGTTTAAACATCTCTGTATCACCATGTTTAAACATCTTTATATCACCATGTTTAAACATCTCTGTATCACCATATTTAAACATCTTTATATCACCATGTTTAAACATCTCTCTATCACCATGTTTAAACATCTCTGTATCACCATGTTTAAACATCTCTGTATCACCATATTTAACATCTTTATATCACCATGTTTAAACATCTCTGTATCACCATGTTTAAACATCTTTATATCACCATGTTTAAACATCTCTGTATCACCATGTTTAAACATCTTTATATCACCATGTTTAAACATCTCTGTATCACCATGTTTAAACATCTTTATATCACCGTGTTTAAACATCTCTGTATCACCATATTTAAACATCTTTATATCACCATGTTTAAACATCTCTGTATCACCATGTTTAAACATCTCTGTATCACCATGTTTAAACATCTCTGTATCACCATGTTTAAACATCTTTATATCACCATGTTTAAACATCTCTGTATCACCATATTTAAACATCTTTATATCACCATGTTTAAACATCTCTGTATCACCATGTTTAAACATCTTTATATCACCATGTTTAAACATCTCTGTATCACCATATTTAAACATCTTTATATCACCATGTTTAAACATCTCTGTATCACCATGTTTAAACATCTCTGTATCACCATGTTTAAACATCTCTGTATCACCATGTTTAAACATCTTTATATCACCATGTTTAAACATCTCTGTATCACCATGTTTAAACATCTCTGTATCACCATGTTTAAACATCTTTATATCACCATGTTTAAACATCTCTGTATCACCATATTTAAACATCTTTATATCACCATGTTTAAACATCTCTGTATCACCATGTTTAAACATCTTTATATCACCATGTTTAAACATCTCTGTATCACCATGTTTAAACATCTCTGTATCACCATATTTAAACATCTTTATATCACCATGTTTAAACATCTCTGTATCACCATGTTTAAACATCTTTATATCACCATGTTTAAACATCTCTGTATCACCATATTTAAACATCTTTATATCGCCATGTTTAAACATCTCTCTATCACCATGTTTAAACATCTCTGTATCACCATGTTTAAACATCTCTGTATCACCATATTTAACATCTTTATATCACCATGTTTAAACATCTCTGTATCACCATGTTTAAACATCTTTATATCACCATGTTTAAACATCTCTGTATCACCATATTTAACATCTTTATATCACCATGTTTAAACATCTCTGTATCACCATGTTTAAACATCTCTGTATCACCATATGTAAACATCTTTATATCACCATGTGTAAACATCTCTGTATCACCATGTTTAAACATCTTTATATCACCATGTGTAAACATCTCGGTATCACCATATTTAAACATCTTTATATCACCATGTGTAAACATCTCTGTATCACCATGTTTAAACATGTCTATGTTTTTAGATTCCATTCTTATTACGATGAAGCAAAGCAACTCTATTATCGTGTAAGATCATCAATGCTCTGACCTGCAATTTCTGTAACGTTATGTGCCATTTTGTTGATTCTTTTTCAAGGATGAGTTCAGTAACTTGGTGCAGATGTGGAACGCACAGCGAACCCAAGCTCTTTATCGGACATTTTATCAAGTACTTTATCCCTTGTTCACCAAGGAACTCGAAGAGAAATTATTACAAGAGGCCAAAGATTTTGTCGTCAAGGTAACGAGTGAATGTTGTCATTGTAAAGAACACAAATATACAGTTGTTGTCGAATTCCTTGAATCACTGGTCGAATTCTTTTACACCAAGACAGCATTCCTGTCCAAAATTACTTTGCGAAGCTCATTCGCCATATTTTTATTGCTTACTTCTTTTCACAGTGCGCATGTCGTCGTCTCCGTTCCCTTGTTGAAGTTGCGCCTTATCAAGCAGAACAACATAGTGATGAAGAGTATGATATGTTTACTGGTCCTCGTGGCCTTCGTGTTCTCTCCGTAGCAGTACCTTCTGATCCTTACCAACCTATCTTCTTTGTCATGTTAAATGGTGGCGGTCAAGTTGGAGATTTTTTGAAGTTGAGTTTCATAATGAAGAAGAGAAATTCGAATAGAAGTAAAGAAAAAGAAAAAAAGGTTTGCTTCAAGCTGGAAATATATCATGCTCTTTTTTATGGTTGATTTGCTTTGTTTGCTTATTCAAGAATGGGAAATATTTTCTGTTTAGGAAGAAGATCTTGAGTCATTGAAGCAGTTCGTTTTAAAGAAACGACCCCACGTGATTGTTATAGCTACCGGAAGTCGAGATTCATTGACTGTTTATGAGGTCGTGAAGATATCAATCAGGGAACTGGAACAAGAGAATCAAATATCTCCAATTAATGTTGAATTAATTGATCATGAAGTCGCCGAAATTTTTGAGAAATCCTCAAGAGCCGAGGTAAAGCAAATGTGGAAAGTTTACAGTAAATTAAACATTCATCGTGATTTTCATTTCATTGTTTTTCAGACGGAATTCCGTGAATATCCGATGATATTACGACGTGCTATTTCCGTTGGTCGACGTATTCAGGACCCACTTGCTGAATTTGCTGGACTTTGTGTAGACGAAGACGAATTATTATGTCTGAGACTTCATCCGAAACAGGTTCGTGGGTGTTGCTTAAAAGCATTTTGTGTATTTAACGAATTATTGGTATGAAGTCTTGAGATGTTTGTAGAATTTGATTTCTAAAGATGTACTTCTGAAACACTTGCGAATTGTGTTTGTCACTGTTGTCAATGAAGTCGGAGTGGATCCAAATCGGATTTTGGATTTCCCTCACACTTCTGGTCTGATACAGTTTATCTGTGGATTGGGACCAAGAAAAAGCTTAGCTTTAATCAAGGTTTGATAAAATTTTATCATCACTCATTTAACGTTGCACATCCTGAAGGAATGTCACCTTAATTTAGAGTCTTCGTAAGGAAGGAACCAAACTCGAAAATCGTTCTCAACTCGTGACTGTGTGTGGCATGGGACCTAATGGATTTCTCAATACGGCTGGATTCGTAAAGATTGATACGTCTGCGCTGAATGACAATACGGTCAATTACATTGAAGTTTTGGATGGCTCAAGGATTCATCCTGAAACTTATGAATGGGCGAGGAAAATGGCGGTCGATGCTCTCGAATATGACGAGGTAATTATCACAGATTTTATAAAGGGTATGGACTGGTGTGAGTCTTAATGTCAGTTAACAATCTGCCTTTTTTCAGTAGCCAGGTAAATTTTAGGTAATTTGTCCATCGTCAGTAAAGATCTATGCTATTTGTTCGTTGTCAGTAAACCCCATCCAAAACTTGTTGATATTATTGAGAATGAGAACTTTTAGTACTTGAATGGTGGAGTTGAAAACATAAGTTGGTGATTGGATCTCTATAACCAATTGGAGCTGACATAGTTTGTTTTTGTAGACATCAGAAGAGTCAAATCCTTCTGCCGCTTTAGAAGAAATCTTGGAAAGTCCTGAAAGGTTGAGAGATCTAGATCTAGACGCCTTCGCCGAGGAGCTGGAACGTCAGGGGTTTGGGAACAAGCGTATCACTCTTTATGACATCCGAGATGAATTGTTTGGACGTTACAAAGACCGCAGACCACCTTATAGGGAAATGTCCGTTGATGATCGTTTCCGATTGCTAACCGGGGAAACACGAGAAACGTTGTTCTATGGGAAACTGATTACGTGCGTTGTATCTGGGTTTGCATACCGGAAACCCAACAGAGAGAGACTGGAAAACGTTGACCCCAAAAAGGATGAAGAAACTGGACTCTGGCAATGTCCATTTTGTGGTAATAATACGTTTGCAGACCTTGGTGAGGCAAGTATATCTGATATGATAAACATCCGCAGTCAGTTATTTAAACCTTGTTTCTTTAGAAGTATGTGAACTAAAATCAAAACCATTGTTATTTCAAGGTATGGACACATTTTGATAACGGTAGTTGCCCAGGACAGATTGTCGGTGCTCGAACGAGACTTGAAAATGGAATAAACGGTTTTGTTCCGACTAAATTGATTAGTGATAAGCACATAAAGTCACCACAAGAGAGAGTAAAGGTATTTATGTAGTTGTAGTCATAAAATAAGGTGATATTTATGTAGGAATTACGATCGTATTAATGTATTAGGTTGGTTCAATGATTCACTGTCGTGTTACCAAAATTGATGCCGAAAGATTCCAAGTTGATCTCACATGTAGAACTTCTGATTTGGAGGACCGAGAAGGGAAGTACAGGTACAAAAAAGGATTGAACTGGTATTTAAGAGAATTTTTCCTGCTGACGAACGTCTATATGTATAGCTGAATGTTGTGTTGTGTTTTTTTTGCAAGTCGTCTCAAAGACACGTACTTTGACCAAGCCAGTGAGGACAAGGACAAGAAAGCTGTCAAAGATGCAGAAAAGAAAGCAAACAGACCTAGTGAGTTGATTTATTTCATAGTTTAACATTATACTGTGCAACTATATTCCTCCTACTGTACGTTATTCTTCCTTACATAATCATCCATAAAATACTCTGTTTATATACTTGTCATCAATCCCCTAATGTACCCCATATATACTTCTTGTCACTCCTCTAATGTACCCCATATATACTTGTCATCACTTCTCTAATGTACCCCATATATACTTCTCGTCACTCTTTTAATGTACCCCAAATACGTATATCAACATTATGTTCAAAAAGATTTTAAATTTTTCTGATAGGTTACATAAAAAGAGTGATTGTTCATCCTGCGTTTCAAAATATCGCTTTCAAAGACGCAGAAAAGAAACTGGCAACAAGTGAGCAAGGAGAGTGTATCGTCAGACCCAGTAATAAGGTAAAATTGCACGTGTAGTTGACTAGTATTGCACGTGATTCATATCATGCTCATCTTGTTATGGTTGTAATTTGTGTGAAGGGATCTGATCATCTGACCGTCACGTGGAAGGTAGACGAAGGAATCTATCAGCATATCGACATTAAAGAACAAGGAAAGGAAAATGCTTTTAGTTTGGGCAAATCTTTATGGATCGAAAATGAGGTAAGTTGGAGTTTAAAAATCGTGTTAAAAACATTGATGAGTTTGGTAATGATCTCTTACATCTGTAGGAGTTTGAAGATTTGGACGAGATAATTGCTCGACACATTCAGCCAATGGCATCCTTTGCACGTGACATACTTTCCCATAAATACTACAAGGACACTGAAGGAGGAAGTATCAACACGATGCAGGAGGTTCTGAAAGCAGAGAAAACAAAAAATCCGAAACGCATTCCATATTTTCTCTCTGCGTCAAAGGAATTTCCAGGAAAGTTTCTTCTCGGATATATGCCTCGAAACAAACCTCGTACAGAGTATGTCTCTGTGACTCCTGACGGTTACAGATATCGTGGTAGAGTACATGCTAGTCTTAATGCTCTTTTCAAATGGTTCAAAGAACATTTCAGGGATCCAGTACCTGAGCCCAGAACAATGAAAGCAATGATGATTTACAAAAAATCTTTATGTTTTATTTGACAAAAAACGTTTGATCTTGAATCAAAAGTGACACGAACACTTACTAATGTCATTGTAAACTTTCAGCGTGGCAAAAATTGAAGATATTAGAATCATAAAGTCCACTTGTACCTTTTGCCAAACTAAAATAAACAAAAAGTTAAAGCGCACTGGATAAGCACCGTCCAACCGTCCCTAGTTAGGGCCATCGCCGTCGCTGACAATGGCAAAGCATGGAAACTAGTTCTCAGTTTTTTCCTCACTTCCAATGTTCCCAATCTTTTGGTAGTTATTATCGTGGTTTTCCAACCACCAATTACAGCCATCAGAATTGCTCTCGAGATCTCCGGGAAGCGGTAATCTTCCGCAAGTTACCATGGAAATACAATCACGTGATTGTAGAATGATCACTACGTGGACTATTTGAATTATGAGAAGGCTTGGTGCTGATCTCTAAATATGGGGATGTAGCCATTGACATTGTTTCTGATCTTTCAACCGGCTGGTCTTTGTGCTGGCATTTTTTATAGAGATCATTGAAGGCCCCACAAAAGAAAATGGTGAGAGTAGATGAGGATTGTTAGGAATGTATTTGGATAGAAATATGAAAATTGTCATGAGGATTGTGAGGAATGTATTAGGATAGAACTATTAAAATTGTCATGGGGATTGTGAGGAATGTGTTAGGATAGAAATATGAAAATTGTCATGGGTATTGTGAGGAATGTATTAGGATAGAAATATGAAAATTGTCATGGGGATTGTGAGGAATGTATTAGGATAGAAATATGAAAATTGTCATGAGGATTGTGAGGAATGTATTAGGATAGAAATATGAAAATTGTCATGAGGATTGTGAGGAATGTATTAGGATAGAAATATGAAGGTTGTCATGGGGATTGTGAGGAATGTATTAGGATAGAAATATGAAGGATTTCATGAGGATTGTGAGGAATGTATTAGGATAGAAATATGAAGGTTGTCATGGGGATTGTGAGGAATGTATTAGGATAGAAATATGAAGGTTGTCATGAGGATTGTGAGGAATGTATTAGGATAGAAATATGAAAATAGAAGAGAATAAATAGAAAATTATCAGGACCACTTAATGCATTCTTAGGGATTATCAAATATGATTCTATACGAGTCTTTAAAATATAAATTTTCAGTTTACCTTTGAGCACTCCAGTAATGAAATGAAAATAGATTCATTTACAGAAATTTTTGTTTTGACATTCACGCGATGGCTGTTTTCTACATCATTCACCATCAAACCAGCACGAACAAATAACTTGTGACGAAGTTTGTAATATCCTTGTTCAGTAATCTCTTCATAATAAAGACTTCTCTCTATTTCCTGCCAACTTGCTTGATGTTCAACAGACAACGAAGGATACACTGAAATAATAAATAAAATTTTTATCACTTGGAATTATTGTAGAAAGTAGACAGGAAAATTTTGCCGTCCTCTGGTGATGTTATTGAGACAAGTATGTATATATATATATAATATTATTATGGATAATATTCCTGGATAAAAGAGCGCTCAATATTCTATATATTAGAAGAGCGTAAGATAAAATGAACTAAAATAAAATAAAATGGACAATTGTTTGCTGTCGCTACTCAGAGTTTCACGCCGTAGGGCGATCTTCAGGCAACGTTGCCACGGGTAAGACATACACTGAGTATATTGCTTACACAAAGAGGGACGGAAGTTCTGTGGATACTGCTGCAATCTTTCTAAACAACGCATGTATGGTTTTTCATCAGTAAACAATGTCTTTCGAGCAATCTCCAAACAGGAAAGAAAAAGACTTAAATAACAGGCCCGAAGAGATGATTGCTCGTTGTGAACATTAAAATTCATCGCGAATTCTGAAGTCAGTCATATGAGGTAAAATCCAAGTGATATAATAATAAGTCGTTGTTATATATATAGCTAATATTAGCACGCACCAACAGTTCTACTGCTATGAGTATAGAAAATTCTTGTAGTTATTCATGAGACGATAAAACTAGAGCAAGAACTATATGAAGGGGAAATCGTGAGACGGTCGGACTTAGCTACAAGTGGTTATAATCAACGAATACGTACGTAGGGAACATAGAGTTCAACGTCATATAATTTCGGCACTTTTCTCCAGCAAATATCATCATGATTAATGTGATTTTTTTCCTATTTAACGTGTGCGTAAGGAAACGTGCAGAGATTGCGTGAGTTGCACTATCTTCATCACACAATCTATTATCATATTTACATTCTAATTGGCATAAAAAAAATTCTTGAAATAAGAATTCTTTTTTCAGAATCTCATATTTGAATGATATAGGAGCGATGTTCGTTTGTTTGTGTTACTATTGTCCTCATATAATACGTGTCATTTTCTAAACTTCACATGAATCGAATTATCTCGAATTTCTTTTTTGTAATTAAAATATTGGAGAGTCTATAAGGGTGTCTGGTATTCATCAACCATAAGATTTTATTGTTAATAAAAGACTAAAATTGTAAATTGCAAAGGTAATGTATATTTTAGACCATAAAAAATAATTTACTGACATGTGATTTCGTTTTAATTTCAATAGACGTCAATATCGCGATGATTTAAGTATTACACCTTTAAACTTGCATCAATTCTAGGACATCGATTGTATTGTGTGATAAAACTAATAATAAATGTTTTCTCTCAACACGATATGAGTTATTAATGCTATATCCAGACTTGGGACAGGTATTAGTGTTATTCACACAAAGAAATAGTCTGTATAAACTAAGTTAGTAAAATGTTGCAACACATACGTAGCATAAGTATAATAATTGAGTTTCAAAAGACTCAACCTATCGACGTAAGGAACAAAGACTGTTCATAATAACACCATTGGTTACTATGGACTTCTATAGTCAAAGACGTTTTACGTAAATCGAAGTCTTTCAAACAGGGGTGGAGCCAAGAATTCTTCAGACACGGGCAAGGTCCCCGGAACCCGACAATGATGTTGAACTACAAGGTTCTTGTGAATCATCGCTAACTCTCTCCTAAATCAGTGCACACAAACGTTGAAGCAATAAAGATGCATAATGACTTGAATATCGTTTCGTGAAAAGATTCTAATAAAACCTGCAGAAAAGAATGTTTTTCAGAAGACAAAACTTCTGTTTTCGAAATCTCCTAGCTTATGCTTGGAGACATTTGAATAAATTAGTGCCGATAGTTACAACATATCAATAACATTTTTCATTTCTGCCATTCATTCCGTGACGAATTTTTTATTTTCCCCCAATAAAGGGAACGAAATTCTCCCTTATCCAGTGAAATGACTTTATATTGACCTTGCTTCGCGATATACTAGAAATGACTTCATACTGACCCTGCTTCTTGAATTACTAGCAATGACTTTGTACTGACCTTGCTTCGTGAATTACTAGAAATGACTTTGTACTGACCTTGCTTCGTCTTTTACTAGAAATGACTTCGCACTGACCCTGCTTCGTGAATTACTAGCAATGACTTTGTACTGACCTTGCTTCGTGAATTACTAGAAATGACTTTGTACTGACCTTGCTTCGTGAATTACTAGAAATGACTTTGTACTGACCTTGCTTCTTGCTACTAGTTTTAGTTTCCCTATCATACTTAAAACTAGAACTTAAATTCATTTAATTATGAATAATTGATAATGGTCTGAAGAAAAGGGAGAAAAAATAATAGAACGCAAAATAATACGCATTTTTGGATGCCTATTGTTCAGGCTTGTCTGGCAAAATTTTCCAGAATTTTGTATGCTTTAACAACTTGAGCCATATTTCAACCCTACATCACAGAATAATGATCAGAAAGGTTACTCGGATGTTCAAAGCGAGTTCACGTCAGTTATTATTTCAGCTAGTTGATTCCAAACATCATAACTACATGTCCCCAATTCTCATTAATGAATTAGAGAATATTTTGACTTAAGAAGTAGCTTCTGATCATATTAAAGGTTTAGGAAAAGTCAAAAGCCTAGTCCGAATAATGACGGCCACTATGAGCGTCACGACATGCGCAAGGACAAAAATATCAACGTTTCGAACACAAATGACCCTTCTGTATATTTCTATTCTGTGCCTATGTAATCTAATTCCTTTTTTTAGCTTCGTTATTTTCTACGCAAGCAATTTTAAAACTTTATCTATTTAACACGATTCTCATTTGAAAAATGCTTATTATTAGCGAAAATCTTACTACCGGATAAAGCAATGGCGTCCAACTACGTATAATTGGACGAAGTGAAATGTATCAAACATAATTACTAAACCTCATTTTGTACTAATTGACATAGATATCGTCAAGCAGTTTCATTTTGCTGATAAAGTGACGTAATAAATGTCATTGGAGTACACGTCAGTTGCATGCTAAAATGCATAATGTCTTTTACTTAATTCAACAACTTTAGAATTACCTAAGTTGTATTATTGTTTTTGACCACACCAAATTCTTTTTATTTGAATTTGTTTCTATACAAGCAATGTCTCTTTTACGAAAAAATTACAGTCAGTTGCAATCCCAGGAATTTTGTACAATAGTTCTCACTTTGAGATATGATAAAAGGATTTCTTTGTACAAATATTTCAGTACATTTGTGCAAGCATTATTGCTAATGTAAATTAAATTCAAACGACGAATTTTTTGAAAATAGACATATTTACATGAGAAATTTTTATTTGCAGAAAAGCTTAGTATTTGAACGTAAATTTGAAGCTATATTCAAATGGGCAAAGTGATTATGATGTAGTGTTCATCGTATTCCTTACTTGTAGCAACCAATATGAAACTTTGAATAAAAGTTTGATTGCCAACGTCAACTATAAAAACCAAAACAGTATATATTAAAAAATTTTATACTATAATACAAAAATAGGTACCTTTAAGAGAGTATATTTGCATCCCTTTTAGTTGTCGTCCTTTTGATCAATTTTGGCCTTGGTGTGATGTCAGGTTGTAGTGATTATTACATGAAGTACGCCACCTTAGTAACCGCGCCTAGTTTAAGATAATTACTTATAAAGGGACATTTTGTAGATTTTAATTTAGTGTTGAGTAAAGTCTTATTTCGAAAGGTTGTTCTTTGGTGTTTACTTGAATTCAAACTTCTACTTCAATTTACTCAACACTCACCTTATACCTATGTATAAAGTTTTGAGACCTGAACGGTTTGATGTTATTCCGAACGCGCAAGGCGCTGCAAAACGGTGGACGCACTGGCTCGCGACATTTGAGAACTTCATCGATGCAATACCGTCCATTCCTGATACACGAATAAATAAACTACACATTCTGGTGAATTATGTCACCTCTGATGTTTATCAACTGTTCTGTGATACTGAAACCTACGATGAAGCCATCACCACGCTGAAAACCTTATATGTCAAGCCTCCGAACGAGATTTTTGCTCGGCATAAATTAGCAACACGGAAACAACAAGCAGGCGAAACCCTTGACGAATACCCACAAGAACTGAAACACCTAAGTAAAGACTGCAATTTTTGTCAAGTCTCTGCTGCTCAATATCGGGATGAAGCAATTCGGGATGCTTTCATTAGTGGTCTATTGTCGGGAAGCATTCGACAACGTTTACTGGAGAATAAACAGTTGGATTTACAAACGGCATTTGATAAAGCTCGAGCTTGAGATTCGGCACAAAAATCATCGGAGACATACAAGTCAAATCCCTTCACAAGCGCTGCTGTTACGGCATCTAACGGACATGACGAATTTAATGAAGAAGGACTAAGCGAGAGGTATTTAGCCTCCACTTCACGTTCCGCTAAGTGCTTCTTTTGTGGTAATAAGCAACACCCCCGGTCATTATGCCCTGCGAAAGAAGCTATTTGTAATAAATGTAAAAAAGGAGGGCACTACCAAAGAGTTTGCCGTTCTTCAGCAGTAGTCTCTAATTTAAGGCAATCAGCTTACATAACTCTAGCTGCAATGGGGGAGTCATTGCTAAGTTCATGTATTGACATTCGTTTAAAAGAAAGAACTGTTACAGCTCTGGTAGATTCAGGAAGTACTCATTGCTTCATAGATCCTGATTTGGTTGAGCAACTTTCATTGACAGTTCATCAGACCAAAGAAAAAGTTACGATGGCTACATGTAATTATTCCACAAAAATGCAAGGATATTGTCTTAGTGATATAACGTTAAAAGGCCGGTTGTATTCTCAGGTTAAGCTATATATTCTGCCCAATCTGTGTACTCATGTTATTCTAGGGCAAACTTGGCAAGCCCTGCACGAAAGTGTCACTATCCAGTACGGTGGTTCTGCCCCTCCTTTGAAACTTTGCAGTTTAACAGCTTTGAACCTAGACCCCCCACTTTTGTTCCAACATTTAACAGAGGGTTGTAAACCGATAGCTATTAAATCAAGGAAATATAGCCGAGAAGACAAAGAATTTATTACAACTGAAGTACAAAGGCTTCTAGATGAAGGTATAATTGAACCGAGTGAATCACCGTGGAGAGCACAAGTGGTCGTAACTAGAAACGATCGACAAAAAAGATTAGTGATTGACTACTCGCAAACTATAAATAGATTCACACACCTGAATGCTTATCCTTTGCCTAGAATAGATGATATCGTCTCTAAAATCGCTCAGTACAAAGTTTTCAGCACCGTTGATTTGAAAAGTGCGTATCATCAAGTCCCAATTCAAAAAGAAGAAAAGAAATATACTGCTTTCGAAGCTAACCAGCGTTTGTACCAATTCCGTCGAGTACCATTTGGAGTAACGAATGGAGCAGCAGCTTTCAAAGAATGATGGACAACTTTATCGCTAAAGAATGTCTAGAAGACACGTTTGTGTATCTTGACAACATCACGATTTGTGGCCGGGACCAAGCCCAGCATGACATAAATCTCGAAAAGTTCCTTCAAGCAGCTAGAAAGCGAAATTTGACGTTTAATCAAGACAAATGCTCCTTCTCAACAACCAGTATTTGCATCCTCGGTAGTATAATCGCTAATGGAGAAATAAAGCCGGACCCGGCACGATTGAGACCTCTGCGAGAGTTACCTGTCCCCCGTGATTTAAAAGAACAGAAACGGATTGTGGGTCTCTTTTCCTACTATTCTCAATGGATCAAAGACTTTGCAGCAAAAGTAAGACCACTGACACAGAATACTGTATTTCCAATGGTAGGCGATGCTCTTACTTCGTTTAATCTACTTAAGTCCGATGTCGAAAAATCTGTGGTCCAAGCTGTTGACGAAGCACAGCCCTTTCAGGTGGAAACAGACGCTTCCGAGTTTGCTCTTTCAGCCACTCTCAACCAAAACGGTCGCCCAGTTGCGTTCTTTTCGAGGACGTTAAGCGGATCAGAACTTAAGCACGCTTCAGTGGAGAAAGAAGCAGCGGCTATCGTAGAAGCCGTGAGGAAGTGGAGACACTACCTTACGGGTAAGCATTTTATGTTAATTACTGATCAGAAGTCAGTAGCTTACATGTTTGATACCAAGCAAAAGAGCAAAATTAAGAACGATAAGATAATGAGATGGAGGATGGAACTATCCACTTATGATTTTGATATAATCTACAGAGCAGGAGAAGAGAATGTACCAGCGGATACATTTTCTAGGATAAGAGCAATGAGCATGACCTCCGATAAGCTGATAGAGCTTCATGAATCCTTGTGTCACCCAGGAATAACGCGGATGGCACATTTTGTAAAACCGTAATCTCCCTTTCTCTATGGATGAAATTAAGCTCATGACACAGTCCTGCAAGATATGCAGGGAAAGTAAGCCTCAATATTACAAAACAGAAAATTTCCATTTAGTAAAAGCGACTCAACCCTTCGAGAGACTTAGTTTGGACTTCAAAGGACCATTGCCGACGACTAATCATAATAAGTTTCTTCTTACTATAATAGATGAATATTCAAGATTTCCTTTTGCTTTCGCTTGTAAAGACGTTAGCGCGGAGTCAATTATAAATTGTCTCTGCGAATTGTTTTCGATTTTCGGTATGCCTGCTTACATACATTCGGATAGAGGTTCTGGCTTTATGAGTGCAAAAGTTAAAGACTTTCTCCTCCAGAAAGGAATCTCGTCAAGCCGAACCACACCATATAACCCAGAAGGGAACGGCCAAGTAGAACGTTTGAACGGCACTCTATGGAAGACTATTTCCCTCGCGATGAAGACGCGAGGACTACCGACCAGCTGCTGGCAAGAAGTTTTGCATGATGCTCTTCATTCCATCAGATCTCTGTTGTGCACCGCTACTAATGTAACACCGCATGAACGCCTCTTTATCCACCAACGAAGATCGACGAGTGGAACTTCCATACCAACGTGGCTATCCAAACCTGGACTGGTACTGTTGAAGCGTCAAGTAAAACAATCTAAGTATGACCCATCTGTCGATGAAGTAGAGCTAATCGAAGCAAATCCTCAGTATGCGCATGTAAAATTTCCCGATGGAAGAGAAGATACCGTAGCCACTAAGTTCCTCGCTCCACAAGCTGAGGAAAAAGAGAAGTTATGCGAGAAACCGCTACCACTATCGCCTTATAAAGATAATACTGTAGACGACCCACGTCAATCTCCTTTGGCCACAAAAGACGCTAGGAAACTAAATAATAGTTCGCCAAAGAAGGAAAGAGAAGGGAACTCACTACTAGAGGATCCCGCTCTACCTGATCAGTCGTCTTCACAACAGACACTACCGTTACGCCGCTCGCAGAGAGAAAAGAAACAACCCGACCGCCTGACATATACATGACATTGAACTAAAAGAAAAAAAGACAATCGGGCAGGACCAGTCTTATTTAGATTATTTAATTTAGATTATATAGTTATTTCAAATAGGAGAGGGTGATTGTAGTGATTATTACATGAAGTACACCCACCTTAGTAACCGCGCCTAGTTTAAGATAATTACTTATAAAGAGACATTTTGTAGATTTTAATTTAGTGTTGATTAAAGCCTTATTTCGAAAGGTTGTTCTTTGGTGTTTACTTGAATTCAAACTTCTACTTCACAATTACGTGTAGATTTTCAGTTATTACAACAGTTACAAAGGAAAAGTTTCACTTTGATGTGCAATATTACTTTCATACAATGTCATGGGAACAAGTAAGCAAGCTGACTTAGCTGACTAAACACAGTGTTCCGATACAGACAATGAAAACACAGCACAATAATAGTTACAAAGTAAATGGTTTGACCCCGGGAGTATCGTTACAAGTTTGTAGATGTAGATCGTTCAGGTTAGTAATAGTCCAGAGAAGGACTGTTTTGTTGTTGTTGACTGACGTTTCGACAAACTTAGCGGTAGTCATGTTCAGAGTGAAATGAGGAGTAAACGACACGTTAGCCGCATTTTTTATCTGGTTCTTATGTCAATGTACTATGTGTTCAGGAAAAGTGTGGGTGTCAACTGTGTATTGTAATTGTGGATTAGTGTAAAGTGTAAATATTTTTGTTGATCATTTGTTTGTATTGTGAATAAGTTGTACGTACAAAAAACTCAAACGAGACCCAGCACCATCACTAGTACGCAAACTTAACAGCAAGATCTTCTATGGGAAAATCTAATATTATATCTGATTATATTTACTATCGACTTTAATGTTCACTACCACGACCACATAGAATATCCTGACTGCAAAAACTTCAAAAGCCACAAATACCAATGTGATGAGTTGTATCATTCTTCGGTTCACTTATTTAGGAGCTCACAAAGTACTTGACTGACGTACTGCATCAATTTACAAGCAAATCAAAACACAAGATACAATCCACTGAAATTTTCATTAAAATACTAAGCACTGTACAAATACCGGACAACTATATACTATTGCCTTTTGATGTGAAATTACTGTTCACCAGTGTTCCATTTAATCAAGAACTTACTTGTACAAAAACCCTCATTATAAACACCACGGACGTACTGCCATTAATCACAGAAGACAATATGGAGCTGCTGGTGATTTGCCTCACCTCGACTTACATTCAGTAGAAATGTACGCACTTAAAACAATTACGTGCAGCAGCAATGAGCTCCGTTTCTGTTGCAGTTGCTGAAATTGTAATCAATTAATAGAGGAACTGGCGCTCACGACTTACAAACATGTACTTCGTTTTTGGTTCTGCAAAGTAGATGACACAATCACAGCCCTACGTGCAGACGAGTGTAGTAACTTTCACAATCATATCAGCAAACACAACAGCCACATATAATTTACCAAAGATGTTGAAGAAAGCCGATCTCTTCCTTTTCTCGATTGTTTGGTGAAACAGGACAATCAAAATCAACGAAGAACAGTTTATTGCAAGCCAACACATACTGACCGACTACTAGACTAGTCATCTTACAACCCTACATCACACAAAGCCATTACAATCAGAACATTAACAAGACGTGCGCAAATCATATGTGATTCACCGGACGGTCTACACAACGTAAACAACTATCTGAAACGTGTTTTTGATAAAAACAACTATAACTCTGAATTTATCAAACGCAACACTTACAAACACAACAAACGCAACAAAACGAGCAACACAGCGACAACAGCAACGATACCTTACATCAAAGGTACGTCGGACACTATCTCGTGTATCTTACGACCATACAACATACGTGTTGCACATAAACAAATTACAACGTTACGATGAGTACTAACTAACAAAAAGGACTAAGAAGAACCTAACAAACGACAAGGTGCAGTTTACAAAATAAAATGCATCGACTGCCACGCCTATTATATCAGAGAAACTGGCAGGAACTTAAAAAGAAAACTTACTGAACAACAACGAGCTACTAAGAAACGAGACAAAACTAATCACATAGCCGAACATTACTTAATCACAAAGCACAATATTGACTGGGATTCGGCAAAATTCATTACTTACAGTACTGACTCTAGGCAACGGCTTACATTACAAAGTTGGTATACCAACCTTGGAACAGACCCCCCTGAACAGATCACAGCAATTACCTGCACCTTACAAAAGACTTATTCACAATAAAACAAACGATCAACTAAAAACATTACACTTCAAACTAATTCACAATGACAATACAAATTTCCTGTACTTACAATGACGTAAGAATCAGATAACAAATACGGCTAACCTGACGTTTTTTACAAAAAAACGATCAACAAAAAAACCATTACCCTTTACACTAATCCACATTGACAATACATAATTGACACCCACACATTACAACTAAAAACATCACACCTAAACCTAAAGTTAGTTGTCTGTCGTGTAACAATTGTTATTGAGAAATTGTTTTTTCCTCGTTTTATATTTTATAGCGATTTTCGTGCATTAAATGTTTAACCTTAATGTGTTATGAATCAAAAATGTTTCTTTCTTTTCTATAGCCAAAATTCAGTTTTTTTTGCTATTGCTGCTTCGAGGCAACTTTGCGCAGTAAAGGTCGATTTGAATTAAATTCATTCCACTAATTATCTCGAGGAGATTTTTTTAAACATTACGTAATTTTATACCCTATTTTGCCTGGTCTTTGTATTAACTTCAGTTGCATCTAACTAGGTGTTTAATAACTTTTATAGAAGCATTGCTGCTTATTGACCTATATTCTATGTCACTTAGCATCTTTATTGATAGTCTGCACAAAGTTTGCTGCTTTGGCATGGATAT